ATTTACTCAGCCAAATTTTAATTTAAGTCTGTAAACAAATTAACGCAATTTGCACTTAAGTTTTTGTCTAAATTCGTTATTTTCTGATCGTCTAATTTGCTTGTCTAAGTTCCTAAACCCCCCAATCAACATCAAACTTTTTCGAGAAAGCTTTTTTCTAGCTCTAAGGAATAAAAAATTAGAAAAATGAACTGAAGTTGTTTTGCAGAGCCTTCACAACTTCAAAACATGACCTCACAACGAGAGCCAAGGAGGACCATTGCGAGCTCAACTTCAAAAACAGGAAACTTCAGCCCTGATATTAGAAAATAGAAATCACATTTATGCTTCACTTCACAATTTATATCATACTCAAATTTAGTATTCATTTTTCACTTGCAAGCTAAAAATTTCTCCTTATGCTGTTGATAACCGCGTTCTTATGAATGAAAAAGATGATAAAAACCTTGAGTAATTAACCATAATTTAGAAAAATGTTTTCAAAAGCAGGCAGGAAAGGTATTTTGAACTATTCTTAAGCCAGTATTTAATTATCTAGGAAATGAAGTATCGTAAAATGTTCTATCATTAAGAAACTTCGACCCAAAGATATGTATGCAAACCAATCTCAGAAAGGTTTATAAGTAGATACTGGTTTCAAGTTCTCGTGTCACACTGCAACAAAACACTCAGCAATTATCTCATGCATGCTGAATTTTGAATCCATGCAACGACATACAAAACATGGAAAATAAATTCAGCAGCACTCGGTTGAGCTAAAAATTTTTTGAACATAACCAAAATTTAATTGGAATGAACGCAAAAACAAGCTATCACGTTTTTCATGATTTTTAATCTTTTGCTGTTCCATAGTGGAGCTTGCCTTCTTTTTAAAAGAAATGAACTAAGTTTAAAAAGAAATCAAAAGTCAAACCACGAAAAAGTAAGCTTGAGCCTGAACTTTCATTTTCGGAATTTTCCTGAAAACACGAAAAAAATCATCACGACATATATCAGAGTCTGAATTAAGTTGATCGACTCTTACAGCTCTTTGAAATTCTAGAAAATATATTAATGATTAATTAATTGGTTAAGTTTTTATTCCGTTGAGCATACTGAAAATTTAATCCACTTTCTAAATTAGAAGTCGATAACGCTTTTTGTGCCCTTTATAATTTTCTTTTCAATAGTTGAGTTTGACTTTCTTAATTTAAAAACTGAACTTACAGGAAACTAGCGTTTAACGCACCTCCGGTGCTTCGAATCTTTTCGAACTCATGAAAAACCGCATATATTGGAATCAAGATCTGCAAACTTTTAGTGTACTCTGACTGCACCCAATTACAGGGTTGGTAATTTCAAACTTTTTTTAAATTCCCATTTTGAAAAACCATAAAAGCGTCATCTCGAAAATTTAATGGGCCTCTGAAGAAAATTGGAGGCTAGATTTGCAACCACTGAGAGCCCCTGAGAGCACCCCACTATACGGTTGGGAATTGCAAATTTCGTGAATGTTTTTAAACTTAAGATTCCCGACAAAAATCGAAAAAAAAATCATAAAAAAAACGTCGTATCTCGTAAACTAAAAGGATTTGAGCATTCATATATAAAGGCAAGATTTGAGCATTCATACTCTTGGAGAAATTTTGAAAAAAATCAAAAAAAAACGTCTTATCTCGGAAACAAAAATCATAAGAGCAGTCGCAATTGAGCAGTCGCATGTGGCAAGATGTATCACTCCTGAGAGTGCCCTGACAGCACTCAACTACAAATTTAGGAATTTCAGAAATATGAAAAAAAATTATATTTTCTGAAATTTTTTGAAAAATCACAAAAAACGTCATATCTCGAAAACTAGAAGGATTTGAACAGTCATATTTGGAGGCAAGATTTGCAACACCTTAGAGTACCCTGACAGCACCCAACTACAGGGTTGGGAATTTGAAAAATAATATATCTAGGTTCTCTGAAAAATTTGAAAAAATCACAAAAAACGTCACATCTCGAAAACTCCGAGGATTTGAGCAGTCATATTTGGAGGCAAGATTCGCAATCCTTGAGAGTACTTTGACAGGAACCAACTACAGGGTTGTGAATTACTGATTTTAAAAAAGAAACAAGTTTTCTAAAAAAAACTTGAAAAAATTACAAAAAACGTCATATCTCGAAAAATACAAGGATTTGAACAATCACATTTGGAGGCAAGAATTGCAACTCCTTGGAGTACCCAGACGGAACCCAACTACAGGGTTGGAATTTCCAAATTTTAAAAAATAATTAATTTAACTTTTCTGAAATATTTTGAAAAAATCACGAAAATGTCATATCTCGAAAACTACAAGGATTTGAGCAGTCATAATAGGAGGCAAGATTCGCAATCCATGAGAGTACTCTGACAGTCCCCACTACAAAAATGAGAATTTCAAATTTAGAAGAAAAAAAATAAATTTAACTTTTGTGAAATTTTTTTTGAAAAAGTCACAAAAAACGTCATATCTCGAAAACCACAGAAATTTGAGCAATCATATTTGGAGACAGGTTTCGCAATCCCTCAGAGTGCCCTCACAGTTTCACACTTTAGGATTGAGATAATCGAACGTTTTTAATTTTTTAAATCTAAGTTTCTGGAAAATTTTTGAAAAACTTCTAAAAAAAACGTCATATCTCAAGGATTTAAGTCATATTCAGAGGCAAGATTAGCAATCCATGTGATTACTCTCACAGTTTCCAACTACAGGATTGAGATTTTCAAATTTTTTGTCAAATCTAAGTTTTTTGAAATTTTTTGAAAAAATCATTAAAAACGTCATTTCTCAAAAACTACAAAAACTTGAGAACTAAGATTTGGAGGCAAGCTTCGCAACCCTTCGGAGTACCTTGGCAACACCCAACTACAGTGATGAGAAACTTCAAATCTTGTAAAAATTTCAAAATTTAAGGTTTCTAAAGATTTTTGAAAAATCTCGAAAATTGCCGCATCTCGCTAACTAAAAGGGTTTGGTTATTCATATATGGAGGCCAAAATTGCAACACCTCGGGAAGCCCTTGCAGCATCCCAATACTGGGTTGCTAATTTCAAACTTGGTGAAATAAACACTCAATTTAAACTCGAAAAAAAATCTGAACCATTGCAATATACGATATAGCTTAAACGTGAAAAAATTCACTGCTTAAAAATGCAAAAATAATACGTTGAAAAAGCTTAAGCATGGCGAGAAAGTGAAGCCCGCATTTAAATATATAATAGATGAAAAGTCAAACCGCGGAAAACCAAATTATAGCGTGAACAAATTTTAAGACTTCTTCCTCAAAAAAAAACATCACGAACTATCCAAGAGTCTTCACGATTGGATAGTCCAATTTTGCAATCTACAGGATTGAAACCACAGAACTCAAACTGCGGACAATTACAATCACAACTGAAGGCGCTTTGAAGCGAAATTACCAAAAACGACTAAATTGATCGCCATGAAAAATTTGAGTAACAGTTTCGCCATAAAAACGACACACGGCAAAATGGAGCTTCCAAGCACTAGCAAAACCAAAAAAAATGGCAGATCATGAATTTGATAAACAGAATTTTTATGCAACTTTCAAAAGGTTTTTTTGAAAAACATTCACGTTCCAAAAAATATCAAAAAACATCTTCGAGTTTGAAAGAAAAAAATGATCTAATTATGGAGACTGAGGGGAAGCTGCGCTTTGCAAACACTACCGATAACACGGCAAAGCAGCTCTATAAAATGCAATAATAAGGTAGAAATAAGCCTCGAATTAGTAAAAATTTGGCTACGTTTGAGATTCTAAGCTGCGACCTAGAGATTAAGAGTCTCACACACTAACCACTCAGCCACGAAAGCTTAGTCCATCACAAGCTTTAGCAACAAATAAAGCAGAGAATAGATGCTCCAGATCGTGGTTATGGCAAAAGTGCCACCAATCAAGTAAACACTTTTATTGAACACTTATTTGCGAGTTAGGTTGGAAAAAAGAAAGTTCGTACTAATACACTACGCTCGCAAGCTCGCTAGCCTAATAACAGTTTGAGTTGAAACTAAACAAATTTGACAAAAATGGATCAATAATATTTTAGGTCATTAGGTATATTCCACTGGCATATATATTTTTCAAAACTGAAACCAGAAGACAATTACGTTTGGTTTGCGCCATTTGCATTCACATTAGCAGAGCGTAATTTGTTTAGCAAATGAAATTGAATTGAAATTAAAACGACAGCAAAAATCAAACCCCAAATCTGACCTGACATTTAAAAACTTAAGAAGTTTCATTAAAAAAACAAGACTTAACAAGGATAGCCGGTTACTGTGCAAGTAGCACTGAATGTTCCGACCATAGTCATAAAAATACAAAAAAAAATAGTTTATTTTTCAAAGTAGTGTCGTTTTTTTTTGCGTTTTGTGATAAAAAGATCTGAACGAAAAAATTGAAACTAAGAAATTTTCGAGAGTCTTGGTAAAATAGGCAAAGTGAACAACAGTTTTGCAGAAAAATTACTTAAAAAAACAAACAAAATTCAAATTTCAATTTCCCAATGTCGCCTATGTTTTAAATTCCCCAATGCCGATAACCAGATCCCAAAAGAAGTCTACTCGAGTAAAACTAACTTTTCATGGCTTAACTTAAGCATAAAAAAGCACGGCTCGAATTCAGTATTTTTCGCTTGGAAATCTTACAAATTAAATCCACTTACAAAATCAAAAATCGATTCTCTACACTCCACTTTTGCTTTCATAAATGGAGATCGCAACTTCCGTAGCTTTTAGCGAAAGAGCTTGAAATGAACTGAAAAAGTACATATATATCTTTGTATATTCTTAAAAGCATCATAAAATCTGTAGTTATTAACGCTTTTTGAGACCTAATCAAGACCTAATTATGGTCCTTTTACACTTATATATGTTTTTGGCCATACTCAAACCTCTAAACTACGCTTTGCTCGGTTCTGAATGGTCTCAAAATAACTCAAGAGCCTTAGCAAATGTTAGGTGAAGTAAGTGTACCATTCATCTGATCAACCTGGGCGTCATCCTCTGTGTCATCTTCGTACAATTGGCCACTGGACTTGGTAGGAGATGATCTGTTATTCTTACTTGGTGATACAGCCGCCTTGCTATAACGCGTAGTTGAGAAGACGTAGGTGAAGATATCATACACAGTGCGGAAGAAGTGTTCCTCTGAACTGGCCTCTTGAATTTCTAGCCGCATGCTCACTATTCTCTCGTCTGTTTTCACCACATCAGAGCATGAATCAGGAACCTGAAGCACTTTCGCAAAACAATCAAGTGCGATTAAACAGAAATCAAAAGTCGGACCACCAGAAGATAATTTACAGTGTGAACAAACTTTAGGACGTCTGCCTGAAAAATGAGCCAAATAAGTACAAGTTAACATCGTTCATTAGCAGTCATCCCATTGAGAAAGTTACATGCGAATTTCTTACTATGAAATTGCTGAGTGTTATTCAAAAGTAATTAAGACCTGCAGATATTGAAGTGCCCTTGCGGAGTCGTAGACATTATCTTTGTAGTATGTGGCCAAGTTGAGGCGGGACTTGACGTGGTTGTGGTCAATGTGCAGCACCCTCTCATACATGTCGATTGCTGTCCGTGTGTCCCCCAGGTGGTGGTAACACTCACTCAGTTTGAACAACACATCCGCTAAAAGTCAAGTCAGACCAATTGGAAGCCGTATTGAGGGAGCTAAGGGATTTAACAACGTCCACGCCAATTTATCAAAATGAACACACTCGAGAGTAACTAAGAAAAGGGATGGATAAACAGAACCAAATGTATTTTGCTGGTCGCATACGAATTTTTCAAAATTTTGCTTTCTACAGAGGCTCCAAATAATCAAAAACAGCAGAATAATCTCGAAGTAACTTACCATTTCATTCATACTTCTCTAAATTTTTTCAAAACTGAAAAAATAAAAGCAATAAAAAGCAATCGTTTATCCAACACAAGGAGATGTGTTGCATCACACTATAACACTAACTGGAATTGATGAAAGTGGGCAGCTGTGCGAGTCTGTTCCAAATGGCGAACTCCTCCGCCCACTTGTCCTTCTCTCTCAGAGCCTCGCACAAATCCATGAACATATCCAGGATGTCTTCTAGATTCTCCTGGCCAAACAGCTCCTCCACAATCCCACTGATCATGTGCTCATTCTCTACACATTCACATACTCACCTTTATCAAATTAACCAAAATAACCACCCTCAACACCTATCTCATTTCATTACTGAGAAGAGAAAAGGTACGCATTTAGATTTAGGGAGCACGCCACCTCTCCCTCGGGCACTCGACCCCTTCATTAATCAAAGGTTTTATTTATAAAATTCTACATTTTTACAGGCGCCGCCTTGGGTGCCAATATATACTAGCTTTGATGCGATGCAGAAATTTTTGTCGAAATGAGATCCTTACAGTGTTCTGGGAGCGCTCGGAAAATCAATTTGCTCAAAAAAGTCATCAGAACTTTCGAAAACTTTCGACCCGCCTCTAACTGTGAACACCTGATTTCTTTAAAAGCCCGACCATTTGATTGTTTGCTTTGACGACAATGCTTTTGGTACTATTTGAAAAGAAAACGTTTAGGGTTAGCAATGTACCCTTGTAGACGGTTATAGAGCAAGATGTTAAAAATAACACACTTCGACACTTTCGGCCACTGATAAGTCATTAGCCCATTCAAATTGCCAGGCTCAAATTTGCTCATATGATTCAATTTTTTGTTCAGGTATTACAGTCTAAGTTTAAACACGTTGGAATGAATGGTTTGATTCGTAAATACAATAAATTTACCTGTATGTATCAATGCAACCGCCAATTTCACTTCTATGTCAATATGAATATCTTCAGGAATGAAAATAGACTTGAACTTGGGAAGAGGAATGTCGGCTATCTTTAACTTCAAACCAACGAACTCCTTTTTGTCCAACTCTTCAAGTTCCAAGTAGCTATTCGCTGTATTTTCATTGGCCTCTACATTCGACTCAACAGTGGTCAATTGCACTGAAAACATTCTGCACACAACCACCACACAACGTCCATACATTTTAGCCGCAATCAGAAGCTCCAAAAGAATATTCAAGTCACCTATGTCACAATAAGCGGGGTGAAAAACACGCAGATTTTCCAGAACTTCCAGAGACCTCATAGACTCTTTACATTGGAAGAAACCTTGAACAACCTCATGGGCCATCTCACTGTAGCTTTCGCTGTCTATTCTGTCTTTGACAATAAGCAGATAGCGTTTCATAGCCGACTTATCTTGACCTGATTCGATCAATTTCTGCTGACATTGTAATCTTATGAGAGCAAATCTGTCGAGAGATTCCTGAAGCGTCGGGTCAAAAGCCAGTGCTCGAGTGCAGTCTACTATAGCTTTAGAGCAGCAGCGAACAATCTCTGAAAGAACTTCAAGCCAAACTTCCGATCTTTCCTCATACTTGGACAGCTTTCTCAGGTTATAATCGATTAACTTTTCATAAACCAATACATCTGTATTTCCCAAATGAGTGGCGATTGTGTAGAACTGCATGGCTTTTTCTTCGTCTCCATTGGCTTCGTAGATTGCAGCTACTGTGAAGTAGGGCTCTGTCACGTTCGGACATTGCCTGATAATTTCCAGCCCCAGTTTTAGAGCTTCTTCGTCGTTCCCTCGAGCTCGGAACAGATTCGCTTGACCTGAAGCGTTTCATTCAAATTATTCTGAACACTGCACTACAGCAAAATCATTTAAAATCGCTTCCATTATCCTAACCTATGAAAACTAAATGAAAACTTTTGTAGCACCAATTCAAATGAACATTACAAAGCTATGAGTCGGTGCTATTTGCATGCTATTTAGAACAAAACAACACATGTTTAAAATCGAGGAAACACTAAAAGGAAACGTTATGTTGACCAAAACAATGTAGAAAAATTTGAAGACCCTCGTTAAGCCGAAAACAAAACTAGTCAAAAAAATTTCAAGCTACACAAATTTCAAGATATAAAAATTTAAAACAAGATTTCAACGACCAATCTCTTTTAAAACACGCAAAACCATAAAAAACATTCGCCCTGATTTTGCTCAATATAAGTTGATCAAGCCTATATAACAAAATCTGGCCCCATTTAACCGTAAAAAAAATGAGAGTTAGCAAATTTACAAATACAGAACAATTTTCACTAATAGTAAAAAAAATTTTGAATAAAAAAACCAAGCTTTGGAAAAAAATTGCTTAAAAATCGTACCAGATAATATAAAATCATTTAGACACTTTCGAATTTCAGAAATAATTTGAGATTGATACTTTTGATAAAATTCACTAAACCTAAGAAAAATGGATCAATAGGTAGAAATTTTATTCTGCTGAGAAGCCTAAAATAGTCAATAGACAGTTGGAAAAAAGTCAATGAGCAGAAAAAAAATTGTACACAGAAAAAATATACGGACTTACTGCTTGAAAAAATTTCAACTTTCGACTTTTAAAGAAAAAAATAGATGGCCTAAGCGCTTTGAATTTCTAAAAAAATTTGTGATTGCCACTTTTCTAAAATAAAATCAACCCAATTTGAAAAAAAAACGGGATCAATATGTAAAAATTTCATTAAAAATTCCACTTTCCAGTAGGTAAAAATTCCACTTTCAAAACTAGAAGTCGATCACGTTTTTCGTGACCATTACACTCTCGATGCTCGATAGTGGAGTTTGTCTTCCTTTTTACAACGGAAATGAATTGAGCTGGAAAAAAATCATAAAGCCGCGAAAGCTCAAAATTGAGCGTGAACAAACTTTAACATTTTTCCCCGAAAAAAAAAACAAAAAAATCATCGCGACCAATATAAGAGTCTGAACTACGTTCATGGACTCTTGAAAACTAAAATCTCTTTCCGTGTTCACTACGTTTATCGACTATTAAAAATCAAATGAACAAGAGTAAGTTTTATTTGAATTTTCAAGAAATTCACCAAGTCACCTTGAATGTGGAATTACCTGCAGTAACTGCAGGTATTTCTTACAGACAAGGTTGTTATACAATTTTGTTTATAAAATTAACAATTGGCTAGAAATAATCTATTCATTGCATTTTCAACCTAATTCCGCTTTTAACTTTTGTAATACCAATCAGTTCAACCAAATGTAAATGCTCCTACCTAGCAACCCCTTCAAGTGTTCCGGCAACCCTTGCAGCCCCTTCTTCACGTTCCTTCCAATGCCCCCTCCTTTGCCAGACATCACGGTGCTCTTCCGATTGAACTTGGTTTCAGTCGGCTCATCCACTTCGTCCTCTTGCTGCCATGAGTGGAATCCGAGACTGTCACTGGGATCCTGCTCATCTGGCTCTGGTTTGGAAGGAGGAGGAGCCACTAAGAACTGAGTGACGTCTGGAACGGATTTGCCAGTTACTAAGTTCTCCAGAAGTTGGCGATCAATTCTCATCCCGGAATCACACTCGATGTACCGTTCTGGATCTATAACAGCTTAGGGTGAAACACTTAGAATGAAATAACCAACCTCAAAAATCCAAATAGGAGACAACTTTTCCCTATAGCTGCTCTGATGTAGGGCAGTTTTTCCGGAGCCTCGATAGTTGTTAGGGCGTATCGGTTATCAATAACAATTGAAAATTCCATATCTATTGAATCCTTATTTTAAAAACTTGCTGTAGCACATCGTCGAGTCCATTCAACATTTTTCACTTACCATGATCAACTTGCACTTGTTTTCCTGGATGTTGATATGACTCGTGCCTAGACGCCGATTGGCCATTTGAAGCTGAGTCTGAATATATTATAGGCTGAGTTTGCATCTGATATGATCCTTGAGCGGATGTTGACTGGACATTTGATTCTGCAGATTGATACATATTGATATCTTGTTGTTGGTCTTCCTCCATGAAACTTCCCTCAAGATCCTCTTCATCTTCATCCTCGCCCTCCATACACCACTGGATCAACTCTGACTCATCGATGCTGTCATTCAGACCACCTTCCAGGTTTTCGTCTAACATTGAGTCATCACCATGTTCAAAGCCCATCGGCTGCAGCGTAGCTGAAAAGAGAGGACTAATTAGAACTCGTTACAGCAGTGACAACTGAACATTTGCAATAATTTAACTAAGATTAATTTAAAATCAGCCCACGCAAAAAAAAAATAAACTGAAAACAAAGAGAACAATTCTCAAACTAATTTTAAAAAAAAGATGTGCACTAATTTTTTCGAAAAAAGAAGAACCCTAAAAAATGATTCGCATAACCTACTAAAAGCGGCGCATTAATTCTTGTGTTCAGAAATTGATTAAACCATCAATGCACAATTTTGTTGATCCGATATTTTTGATGTATCATAATCTATTTCGGAGAGACCTTTAATATGCATGCAGAATAGCTGGTGTCTTCACCCTTAAGTATTGTTCCATTGTGGTGTGATTTTTGTTCCGCGAGAACACGACCAAAAAACAGCTCTATCAAGTGAAATGAAAAAAAGTAGAAAAAGCCTCGAATAAGCAAAAACTCAGCTACGCGTAGGATTCGAATCTGCGACCTACTGCAATATTTTGAGTCTAACGCAATATCCACTCAGTCACGCGAGCTTAACAAACGACAAACACTATTCACGAATAACGCAGCTACATAAGCTAATAAATGGCCAATGTAATTCAACAAAATTGGCACCAAATACAAATAGACACAATTTTGCAAGTAATAATTTGGAATATATATAACAAACTGAAGGCATCCACACTAATTTTGCATTTAACAAATCCCAAAGCATAAAGCCACATTATGTATAAGTTGTGCATTTTAAAATATTGCGAGATATATTGATATGGAAAATTTCTGAAACAGAGTTTTTATAATTGTTATGTAGTTTGAAACAAATAACTTTTTTAGGTTCATTTGAAGAATTAAAAATGCATCATCTGTGTTAATTATTACTATTCGAATGTCGACGCACGTGCTATGAAAAAGCTGTAAAGATGGCCCAAAAGTTCTTAATAATACACTAAGCTGATACTAGTGTAAATATGCGCTAAAAACATGTTAAGCCAAAAGTTTTACTTGCTTTTTATTCATCGGAATATAAGATCACTGAGTAGAAGCAGATCACTGAGTGAAAAAGAGGAAGCAGTAATACTCAGCTTGGAATCTCCGCCTGATATTTTATGTCTAGCAGAGACATGGCTCACAAAAAAATCAAAACTAGGTAATTAATGGCTAAAATCAAGTTTCACGGAAAACCAAACACAGCGATACTCAGGGGTCATGACCCAAACGAGAAAACAACAACTGCTGAGTGCTAAATCAGATCGCATGTCTTTAAATGAGAGTACTTTTGCTGAAATGTTGAAAAGTATGTTAGGCTGCGAATTAGTGTTATTTATACAGTTAATTCAAAGCAAACAAACTGGCGTTCTGTGAAAATTTGTATAAATTTTCAGATAAACAAATGTCTGTAAACATGCCTTCTGTGGAGTTTTGAACATCAACACTAAGAGAAAAATTAGTTGTTCAAACAATTACATCGACCGCATATCGAGTGCATTTCAAAATATTGCGAGATATATTGATTTGGAAAATTCTGAAACCGAGTTTTTATGATTGTTATGTAGTTTGAAACAAATAACTTTTGTAGGTTCATTTGAAGAATTAAAAATGCATCATCTGTGTTAATTATTACTATTCGAATGTCGACGCACGTGCTATGAAAAAGCTTTAAAGGGGCCCAAAAAGTGGTACCAAGATTTGCGACTTAGATTGAAAAAAAAAATAATGGTTAGTACTAATACACTCACTTCGCAAGTGTAATCACACCACACAGGAAGAACGACACTAATTTGAGAAAAAAATTAACTAACTAAGCTTCTGCGGGGAGCCTACAAGCGATTCGTAATTGTTGATTGAGTTATGCAAGGCACTCTGGGCCAGACTGGTGCCACTAGATCCTATGACGTCATTCATGTTTCCATCACCCACAGGTACACCACTTAGCAGACTAGAGTCAAATACGCCTAAAAAGATTAACTTTTTAGATTCATTGAAAATCAAGCAAGTCACATTTTTTGAAAACTTGTTGCAATCTATATATTTGGAATTTTAAATTTCATCTTGAAAATGCTAAGAATTAAATTGTCGAAAAGACGGCTTTGTCGAACGAAAATGTTGATCCGAACATATCACTAAGTGACACTAGGTTTAGTAAATCAAGGATTTTAGGTACCTCGAGGAAAGTTATTGAAGTCTTTCTGATTTTGTTTCAGTCCTTTCCTTTCTATGCTAACTTTAAAGTGGTCGGACTACAGCAAGTTTTCTTTGCTATCTTTAATAGTTACAGTTCGTTTTCTATTTTTTCTATTCTTAAATCACCACAGTAAAAAATAGAAAAATTTTGATAAAAATAGTCTGGACAGAGAGCTCGCCATAAATGTGTTAGTTTCAATATATTTGGATGAATCGATACAAATCTTATACATGAACAACCTCACCTGACGACGAGGAGGTCTGTCGCATTAGAGAGGGATCTGCTGGTGCAAGACAGTGCAGAACTTTCTCTACCGCCTCCTCCAGCTCCATTTCTCCCCCCTTTGACCTCTGATTTCGTTGCTGATGGTCAGACATTGCACCGTATCTGAAAAGAACACAGATTGATAGACAGAGGCGAAGCTGAGCTTCGCATCGCTTGCGATACAGCACAAGCAAAGCATTGCAAGCTGGCGAACAGAGACAGAAACAACTAAGTCAAAAAAGGTTGAAATTTTTTTTTGTTGAAATAAATGAAAAATTTAATTCAAAAACAATACAGTCCAGAAACAAAAAAAAAGCATTAAGTACGCTTTTACTATTAATCAAGCGGCCACTAAGCCTAGTAAAAGGAGCAGACGACCGCTGAGCCGAAAACAGAAGAAAAAGCCAGAAGAAAATGTCGTCATAATATAGTTTGAGTGATTTAGTTTCAAAACTTTGAAGTTTGTTATAAATTAAACTAGAAGAATTTGAGCAATCATATTCTGTGACAAGATTCGCAACCCTCTGAGAGTACCCTCACAATATCCAAGAACATGAATGAGAACTTCAACGTTTTGGAATTTTTTAAAATCTATGTTTTTGAAAAAATTTTTGAAAAAATCATAAAAAACGTCATATCTCGAACTACAAGGATTTGAGAAGTGAGATTTGGAGGCAAGATTCGCAACCTTTGAGAGTACTCTGACAGCACCCATCTACAGGGTGAAAATTTCAAAAATTGAGAAACTTTTCAAAACTAAATTTTCTGCAATTTTGGGAATTTCTCTTAGGTAGCAACAAGATTTTAAATCGAGCTTCAAAAACTAGGCGTTAATGGTGTTTCACTGAACTAAACATCAGCATCTAATAATAGACTTTCATTGAAAACCAAACCATTGGAATGATATCCAACCATGACACGGGCAAAACACGCAGAAAGGATCTGTTTTGCTTGTAATGTTATCCCCATCAACGTTAAGAAGAAAAAATTAATTATTCGCGAGCGTTTTTTGAAAATCATGAAACACCTAACACGTGGGAAGGGTTCTGGAATTTATTGCGCTTTCACGAAAAAGCCATGCCAATTTCTTACAAATTTTCAAGAGAAGTTGTTTTATGGAAAAAAGTTAGTTCCCAATTACACAAACTTTGCTGTCACAAGTGAAAATAATAGCGCGAACCCGTTCTTCAGCCTAGACCGACAGATAAAAAAACGCATAAAAATATAACTGTGATCGAAAATTTTTTGCCACTTGCACAGAAAATGGCCAGAAAACTGTGTAACCCGAGCACTGGTATTCATTATTTCGGGGCACTGGTACTCAAAATTAGGGTTTTTTCTGTTATACGGCCCAAAATTATCAAATTGTTAATTGAGCTTCTGTTTTTAATTAAATCTTGACTTTCTTAGGCTGTATTTAGTTTCACTTTTAAAAAATCAGATTGAGCAACAATGTGATGCAATTTTAAAACACAGAGACGAAGCTCAGCTGCGCACCTCTTGCGATAGAAAAATGAATGTCTCCCACTACTTGCAGACGAGCCGACAGATTGACAAATAAAAAAGTTGCATAAATATCCGAAATTTTGGAACTGAAATTACTGCACCTTAACAAAGAGAAGCTAAGCATCGACCTACATAAAAAACCATACATGGCAGGAAAAATTAACCGACAAAAATAGAGATGAAAACCGTCGAAAAAAATCGTCTACCAAAAATTTTCCTTAAATTGTCTTGATTTTACTTTGACATGCCAAGAAAAACGCAGAAATATGCCAAGAAATACGAAAATTGAACCTTAAATGAGCATCGAAACAAAAAACTTACACAGAAGCAAAGCTGTGCTTCTCAAACACTAGCAAGAGCACGACAAAAAGCAGCTCCATAAAGTGCTGTAAGAAAAAGCAGAAATAAGCCTCGAATTAGTTAAAAACATCGAATTCGTCTCGGATTCGATCTGCGACCTAGAGATTATGAGACTAATACACAAACAACTCAGCCACGGACGCAATAAATCAAAAATATTAGCCACAAATAAGGCAGAGAGCAGATGCCAAGAAATTTCCAATGCTTAAGATAGTGATTATAGCAAAAGTACCACTAAATATGAAAACTTTTATTTGCCAGTTAGGTTAGAAAAAAAGCTCCTCAAATATCCAGAAAAAGGGTTCTAAGCCGATATATTATCAACCGAAACCTTTCAAGCCGAATAAGGAGAAATAACAAAAAAAAAAAGAAACTGATATACTGAAATCGCAGTAGGTAAATTTGCAACCAACCTTGGAAAAAACTAGAATACAACGGGAATTTAAAATTCAGACATGCTCAAAAATTGTCTGTTCACCACCTTTCTGTTCGTTGACGAAAGTAAAGATGACCAAAATTACAGTAATTCTGTGAACAAAGTTATCGCAGGAAATAACCAAATTATCATTTTGGGCCGTATTACAGAAAAAAAACCCAAAACTTGAGAGCAATTCGAAAAAACAAAAACAAGAAACCTTCACAAAATTCAGTGATTTTTGTATAGGCGAAATATTCAACAAAATCGACTGAGCAATGAAGTGATCGAATCATTCTAAGCTAATTTTTAACAGCTAGCGGTTTTTCACGTTAAAACTTAATTTGGTTTTTAAGGAGAGACTCAGAAATTTTCAGCCATTCATTAGGACTTTCAAGCACAAAACCGACCTCACTACAGTTAGGAAAGAAAAAATTTATTTCAATCAAAGCCCAGGTTGTAGTTATGAGACATCCATACTGTTACGTTTTGTAATTACTAAAAATCCACGAACTTTCTTAGTATTTCAGACATTTTCTACCTCAAACTTTAGAACATAGCCAGCACTCAGGCAAACCAAAAAAACTTGAACAATTTTGTCACTTGTATTTCGCTGTGAAAACTGATAACTCAATTCCCTTTTCAAAACAAAAAGTCGAGCACGTTGTTCGTGAACTTTAAATTTTTGCTGCTCAATAGCGGAGTTTTTTATCCTTTTAACAAAGAAAATAAACTTAACTGAATTTTTAAAAAATTACAAGTCAAATCGTGAAAAAAAATTTGAGCCTAAACAAATTTTAAGACTTACGCGAAAAAAAAAATCATCGATCTATATAATAGTTTGAACTACATTTATCGACTCTTAATAACGATTAAGAAAATTTCCTCTGGGCGTTCTTAGAAAAAACGGGTTTAAAAGCAAAGTCAAAGCCATTTTCACGGCTAACATTGGAGATTGTAGGTAGGGCTGTCTTTGGGAAAATAATTTGAAAAGTGATTTTCAAAACAATTCAAAAATCGAAGCAGAGATATAGCAAAATGAGCGTAGACTCAAACTTACTTTTTTTACAGAATCTCAAAATTAGTTTTTTAAAAAACAATCTCGAACTTCGAGAAAAAAATAAGATGGCCTGAAAACTCTTTCAATTTTTAGAACAATTTATGATTAACACTGTTCAAAAATAGAAGTCGATCACGTTTTTCGTGACCTTTACGTTTTTGCTGTTCGATAGTGAAGTTTTCCCTCCTTCGAACAAACAAAATGAACTAACTTGAAAAGAAATCAAAAGTCAAACCTCGAAACAATAAATTGAACCAGAACAAACTTTAAGACTTTTCCTGAAAAAAAAACAGAAAAATTGATCACGACCTATAAAGGAGTCTGAACTAAAATAATCTACTCTTAACAGAGGGAATGAAAATGTTACATTACATTGTCAAAAAAACTAATGGAAAAAGTTCAACAAACTTTAAGAACACCATAAAACTAATGGAACTTTTATGAAACTTTCAAAAATTGAAAAAAATCGATCACCTCAAAAATCTTGAACTTTTTTTCATTTTTTTCGATAAAATTAACTAATTTTGAAACCGAAGGCATTATGCGATCTTCAAAAATAATTGATCAGATGGCGCGAAAAAACGTGAGCGACTTTAGTTCAAAAATGAAATTTATTTTTCAGAATTTTCTGCGTAATAAAAAATACCTATTCATTAATAAGTATTTCTTTTTTACGCAGGATATTCTGGAAAATAAAATCCATTTCTGAAATAATAATCATTCACGCTTTTTCACGCCATTTGCTATTTTGTTTTTATAGAGAGCATTTTGCCGTCTTTTAGTCAATGAAATTGAATTGAACTTAAAAAGAAATCAGAAGTCAAGCCTTTAAAAATCAAACTAAAGCGTGAACAAGTCTCAAGACTGTTTCCTGAAAAAAGTATAAGAGTTCGTCTATACAAATGTCTTCACTGCGTTCATTGACACTCAATTATGTACATTTCATCTTATTCAGTTTTAATACTCACCATTTGCCAATTCTATTCTAATACTTCAAATCCATTTCAGTCACTTTGCACTATCCCTGGAACTATTCTAAGCTCAGAAAATAAATGAAAAATTCAATTCAAGATTCATGGCATACATCAAGTAGTTCTGTTCCGCCAGTCAGGTTAAACGTTACAAACAAGTTCTCAATATTCGAATTCTTCTTAGCCAGCTCCTTAATCCACAGTCGCGCCATGTACTGGTCGGGCTGTCCTGTGATAGCAATTGCATACACGTAACCCTCTTCGTAGTCTTCAGGGTGGAACTCAATTTCGTCTGTTCTCGGCTTCACTTCGTACATCGGCGGATCGCCCCGTAAGACGAAGTACTGCTGTGACATTCGTCTTGTTATGTATTGAAAAAACGGCCCTGAATCAACATCAACAAACTCACATACTCGTAGCAAACAAATAGTCACATTCAAATCTCTTTCACCATACCAATAAAAACTGAAGAAAATAAAGCTGAAATATATCTACCTAACTGATAAATGCGCCATTACTATCATGCAACAATCTTCCGACGAAGAAAAACGCCTAATCTTTATTGAAATTGCTTGGTCATATCAGTATCCCTTTTGAGTTTTAATTAGCGAGCGCAAACCAGAATACTTTGAGAAGTCTCAAATCGCTGAAAGAGAAATTTTGATCTAACCTTGTTCAGAAGTCCAAAATGAAAACATATCCAACACCGAGTCAATGAATGCAAGGAAACAGAAAAAACGGACATATTTTTTCAAAAAAAATCTTTCGAAATTCTTTTAGAAAATTCGTGGCCTCAAAGCTCCTTAAATTTCAAGCACAATTTATAATTGAACACAATTCACTTTTTACAAAATACTAACCAAATTTGAGAAAACTGGATCAACGATTATTTTCGCAGGGAAATCTGAAAAATAAAAATTCCTCTTTCGAAACTAGAAGTCAATCACGGTTTTCGTGGTCTTTACCTTTTTGCTTCTCGGTAGAGGTATTTGCCTTCCTTTTACCAAATAAAATGAACTGAACTTAAACAGCAAAACCCCCAAAAATCAAAACTGAGCGTGACTAAATTTTAAGACCAATGAAAGAGTCTTCACTCCGTTCATCCACTCTTAGTCACCTGTTACTGTGATGTTAGATCCTTTAGGTAATGCTGCCAACTCTTCTCGCTGTTCTTCGTTCATTGAACTCATCAGGTACGCCGGATCCACGTCCGCAGTCTCATAGGATCCGCACATCAAGTCAAACACCTGGTCATAATCCCCCATTCTTTCTAATAGAATCTTGGCTGTATCTAATGGATTGCTTGGCAATGGGTCAGGAACAAGCCACGGGTTGAGATTTCGTAATTTGGGAACCCAGTACCACAATTGACGCATCAGGTCTACTGGACCGCACCTGGGTCCGAAGACGTCGAGCATTATGTCTAGGGTATCGGTGTTTGGGTAAGCTTCCTTCGACGCCATGCGTTTGATAACTTTCACGGCAGCATGTTGCTCGAGGATACCTATAAGAGCGCATTGAAGAAGATAAAGCAAAAAACATAGCCAACAGACAGTTGGAAAAGTGCCGATGAACTCATGAAAACAGAAAAAAAATAATTGACTACTTTTTTTCAATTTTTGAATAAAAAATGTTAAAGCTCCTTGAAATTCAAGAATCTTTTATGAATTACATTTTTTTTGCTAAAATTGACAGAAACTGAGAGAAAATGGATGAAGAGGAAAAGTTTTATTCGGCTGGCAAATCTAATAATTCAATTATCTTTATTTGCCTTCCTTTCTGCAAAAGAACGTGAATGGAAAACAAATGAAACTTCTAACTCAAATTAACGAATGAGCAAATTTTAAGACTTTTCCTGAACAAAAGTTGCAAGACCTCAAAAATGACAATTCGTATCAGGTGACAATTCATCTGGCATATTTTCTAATGTAAGCAAAAGAGGCAATCCCTCTAGCACAAACGACAGAATTCGCGCATGGTAATAGCCTTTAGCATATGCTACCGACCAAATAAGTGAACACTTTTATTTTCGAGTTTGGTTAGAAAAAAAGAAGGTTCGAACAAATACACTAACGCTTGCGAGCTCGCTAGAGTAAACAGCAAACGGGATCTTGAAAATAGTAGTAACCAACTAGCAGATTCGAACTCAAGATCTATGCCGTCCCAGGCGTATTCGTTACCTACAAACTAAAATGACGCTAAAAGAGACGCTTAGAAATTTGAATTCATTATAAACCAAGATACCAACTGATTCTCTTAAACAAGTTGTTAACTGGAAACAAAGTCTATATTCCGATTTGATAACGCTTGTCGACGATGAGATTTGAACCACAGACCAAACTAGCCCGACGATCGAGAACATCCAGTCCTATAAAGAGAAGCGGGCGCAAGCCGACAGCACCATCAAGAAAGAGAAGCAGCGGTTCTGGGACTCTAAGTGCAAATCCTGGAAGAGGAACAACGACCACGAGCCAGATGACACCGACACCCACAGGACACACCGAGGCTGCTGGAGGAGAATCGCGACAGAGATGGACTGTATCGCCGAGCTGGACAGCTTCCCCCGCGAACAGATTAGTTGCCAAAATACTCCTTGGACACTGTACCAACCGGAGACCTTCTTCCGCCTTGACTTGGCAGACAGAGACATCAAGAAGGAGAAGTGCGACTCCCAAGTATCCATCACCGATGACCTACTGGATTCCCTTACCAAGGATGACATAGAGATCTGGACAGACGGATCGGTGCAGGAAGGTAACCAAAATGGAGGAGGAGCACCTATTATCACCACCAAGCTTACGAGTACGATTCTAAAGTCTGCAGCCGGTGCTGGGCGTCCACCTATGAAGCAGAGATGGAGGCCATCAAAATAGCCCTGGAGTATGTGAGTACCCTCGGCCAGCAACACGGCACCAGCGTCAGAATCATGACTGATTCCCTCTCCTCGCTCAGCAAACTAGCGACAGGCCCCGAGGGTCAGGACACCAACTGCGGCATCACCATATGGAAGGCGGTTGAGAAGATTGGGCGTTGCACTTTCGTCTGGGTCCCCGCACACTGCGGACTCGAAGGGAACGAGTGCGCAGACGTAGCAGCCGGAGAGGCAACTCACCTCGCCCAGGATATACGCCCACTGACACTCAACACGGCCAAAGCCGTCATCAAGAAAGAGCGAAGACTAAAGGACAAGAGGTACCTCCAAAACTGGGCAACTACCAAGAAAAACCGCCCGAAGAAGTTCCTCAACAGATGGGAAGAGGTCACGTGGAACCAAATACGAACGGGCCACTCCTCACTATCCAGAGCTGACCTGGCCAGATTTGGGGCCATCGAAGACCCCGGCTGCCTGGACTGTGGAGAGCCAGACACCGTAAACCATATACTCAGCTGCCAACGAGGCGCCCACATTAGACACGAACTGACCGGACGAGATGACGACATGGAAAGCCTATTCAACAACACCGGATACCTGTTCACATACCTCAGAAGGATGGGACGTGCCCATATCAGTGCGGAGCACTGATCAGGGCCTCCTGAAGCAAGAAGAAGAACCACAGACCTTCGACACAGAGGCGAAGTTGCACTTCGCATACACAAGCAAAAATATGACCGATAACGCTACTGGGAAAAACTTAATGAGTAAAATTTTGAGTCTACAAAATTTCTTAAGTGACGCAAGCCAGTTATGACGCATTAGCAGTACCAGTCAAACTGAAAAAAAAAGAAATTTATCATCTAACATGCCTCAATTTAGAGAGCGGACGTATTTTAACTAGTATACAAAAAAACTCTCTTAAACATCCGACCCTGTCCAGGTTCGAACCTCTTATTTTGTTGCGGGTCTCCTTCCCTACCTCTACGCTACAGATCCATGATACCTTGAAGCTTAAGTGCTATTTGTGATATAATAGTCTGTGTTAATATCCTTAGCATTGGCTGTACTTAATAGCTGATTACTGACCAAAATGAACACTTTCAAAATGAACGCATTTTGTCGCAATAATTGCATCGCAACAATATTTGCGGCTTAGGTTGGAAAAAAGTGATTTCATACTATAACACAATCTATGTTTGTGTAATAACAAATAATTTGTCTTCCCCTTTGACCCATCCATCATGGTTTTTCTAGTTAATTAACACTAATAAAGCTCGACATGCATTCTCTAATTGCACACACACAACTAAACACAACACAATTCAAAATAAAATTGTCCGACTTAGGTTCGAAAAAAGGATTCGTATTATAAATCAACCGTTTCTTGAGTAACCGCCGCGACGCTCTTTAAGTTTTCCAACATTTTAATCGTTTTCTTTTACACAGAGGCAAAGCTGCACTTCGCAAGCTCAAGCGAAAATGGTGAAGAGTATCAACCTTGTGATTAATCGCCGAACGTTAGACGCCGTTAGAACAATCGGCCTTAGTCACCGATATTTAAAATTGCAAGAAAACACGAAATAAGAAAATGACAGGGGGCGGGGGGGGTCTTCAAAACCACATACAATTGGATTTTGAAGAATTCAACTCCCTTCCCCGACTGGTCCAACTGTCATAGCTGCTTATAGAGATGCAACCGGAATTAATTTTGCCGGAATTCCGGAACCGGAATTACTAACTGGCGGATTCCGAAATTCGTTTATAGTACTGATGAATAATGATATTTTCGACGAATGAGGAGCCAGTGCGTATAGCGGCTGCACATTGCACATAATTTACGTTGGCTAGCCGTGTTTCACTGTGCGTTTTGTAACTTTTGTTCATTGTGGAAAGGTGTGTTCAAATTTACATGGTTATGTGTTTCAGAAAGTGAAATAGCTGATAAACGACGCGGAATCATTTGGGAAAACTTTACCGCCGAAGCCGCTGGGGACTTAAAAGCCAAATGCAACAAGTGCAATGCAGAGGAAAGTAGCAAAAATTGTTCTCGACGACGCCTTTATATTCACACCTGCACAATTATCACCAAGAGTTGTATGATTCTTAGCAAGTCCAGCGCTCTGAAACTGTTCCCGTTTCTACAACATCGAAGCGTCAAGATACAACCCAGCCAACTATTCAGATGGCGTTCCAGGCAACTAAAAAATGGAGTTTTGACCATGAAAATGCAAAGAAAATCCATGTGTTGATTGGCGAAATGATTGCAACTGACTGCCAACCACTGTCTATGGTTACGGATAGTGAATTTGCTCGTTTGGTTAACCACCTGGAACCACGATACAACATTCCTTCGCGAACTTACTTCCGAGATGTGGTCATTCCAGGCTTGTACGAGAAAATGGTCACGAAAATGAGGTCTTTCCTTTCGGGTCAAGATATGATATCCATTACTAGGGATATTTGGACGCACATATCTTCTGGGTTTGGAGGACGACCAAGGTGTTCAAACGCTGAAACAGTCGCTGATTGAAGCACTGGACACTCGTTTTAACTGGTACACGCAGAACATCAAGTATTGTGTTGCCATGTTTCTGGACCCTCGATTCAAGGTAAAATACCTCAATAAAGAGTTCGTAAATCGCACAAAAATGTTGATCAAAGATCATGTGAATACGGATGATAGCTGTCAAGAAATTCAGTCGGGCGATGTACAGCCTGTTGCCATGAACAGCCGCCAAAAGTTGCTAAAAGGTCAATTTGGGACGAAGAGGAACAAGTTATTCAAGTGCAACTGACACTTCAAAAAATGACCATGAGCTCCTCGTGAATTATATTTGTAAAGAAAGAAAGAAAGAAAGAATTTATTTTCTCGATTGGTAAATACATTGACAAAATTAAAGTAATTTATCATTTATATACAATTGAGAGGGACAGCAAACGAGACCATGCGGTCTACCAACAGCTGCCCTTTAGTATAACATCAATAGTAAACAGCATTATGGAAGAAAAATAAATTTGAAAAAAAAAGTGAAAGAAAAGAAAGAAATTGCGAACATAAAAAGGCCATATTTTCTGCATTTTAATGGTGTGTGCGTGTGATCTCTAGTGAATTATACCTATGACCTGTCTCTCAACCATGAATATCAAAACATTTTTTTTTTGTGAGAAAAAATTCAAAAAAGCACAAAAATCGTCATATCTCCTGAACTAAAAGGCTCCAGAGCATCATTTTTTTCGTCAAGAATCGCAATATATAGTTGGTGGTCTTGCAGCATTTACCCAAGGTATTCGTAATTAAACATTTTAAAAATTAAATACTAAAGATGTCAGCTCGTTGTTATTTAATAGGTATCCATTTTTGAATTCATGATAATAACATTTAACTTTTTCAATGTTCGCATTTTCGATATCATTTAGAAGTAAACCCTTGTTCTGAGAATATTATAAAGCCTAGATCCCCGATACGCCAATGAGTGTTTTTCGAATAGTCTTTTCCTAAATGTTTCTTTTAGCATGTTTAGTTTTCCCCTACGGGTTTCACGTAATGGATTTTCAAATTCAAATAAATTATTCAAAAAACTTTCGCTATGAAGTTTATTAATCGATCGCAGCACGAATTTCAGTAATTC